GAAGATGGTAGCAGGTTTTGGGTGAGGAATGGGTGGCAGGAGCTTGTAGATCACTACAAACTCATCCATGGATGTTATCTAGTGTTTGAGTCCAAGAGCTACTCACGGTTTAAGCTTTTGATGCTTGGAGTAAATGGGTTAGACTTGGAGTTTCCAGTTTCCAGTTATGTCAATGTTGGACGGAATGGGAACCAGGAGTTTCAAGCAGTTGAAGAGGAAGAGAGTGTCCAGGAGTTTCAAGAAGTTGAAGAGGAAGAGAGTGTCGATGGTGATTCTGTGGAGATCTTAGGTCACTTGTCGATTTTAACTTTGTTTTCTTAGTAGTTCATATAAAAAGAAAAACTCTAGCTGTTGTTCTGGATCTCTTTGTGTTTAGGCTTTATTCATGGCTTATTTTTTGGTACTGATGTGTGTGCAGGCTCATCAGTGGTTAAGGAGATGAACAACCTTAATGAAGTTAGCGGAAGGCACCCAGCTCAGCCGCTATCTGCAGAGGCCAGAGAATACCAAGCAAAAAGGGGTTATGAGTGATAGTAAGTGTTGTTGGTTCATCTCAGCGCATAAAAGGGGATATAAGAAATACAGTTTGATCATATTTGTCATCAATCTCTGCAGGGAGGAGAACAACTGGTAATGGAGAGAGGAGGCAAATGAACCAGGATGCTCTAGCTAGAAATAGAGCTACTGGAAGCACCTTTGGAAGGGATAAGGATGAGAACTCTCGTATTCCTTCCATGGCTGAGCAGGAAGGTACATGATTTTTGCTTTCCAGAGTTTTTGGAAAACTGGAATGTGCTTTCTTTTTACAGATTAGTGAAATTGCTTGTTGATGCATGGATATATATTTGCGACAGATGAGCTAGATTTTTCTAGAAGACCTCCCAGCTCAAATCCTGGCAGACCCACAATTAGTGAAATTGCTTGTTAGAAACCTTGATCTAGGCGTGCACGATTAGGGTTCACCAGTCGAAGAAGAGCTAGTGATCACAAGTAATTAGGAATTTAGGGATTAGAATATAGCAATTGGGGAATGAGAGGAAGGGAATTTGGTGGGGAAAGAAGGAAGAAGAAGTCTCCCCCTTGGTTGAGGTCAACGGCAGCAAAGGGAAGAGGAAGAGAGAGTTGGCCGAGGGAAGGGAGAGGAGGAAGAGGTAGGGTTGGGAAATTATTGTTTTGTAATTGCTTAACCTTCTAATATCAGGATTACAGAATATATATATATATATATATATATATATATATATATATCGTGTGGTATATATATATATATATATATATATATATAATCCGACAATTTCACTATAACTACTCGATATTTCCTAAATACTCGTAATACCCAAATAATCCGAAAATGCCTCGAATATAACATATGAGGTCCTCAAATAAATAATAAACCGACAAACAAGTTCAACTCCTAGATTATTAGAAACTGGGTTTCTAACATTTATTTTGGCGGGATGTCTGTGCTGTTTAAGAGCAGGGCAATCCAAGTTTCTGGATTTCAGGAGGGAGAACTCCCAGTGAGGTATTTTGGGCTTGCCATTGATATCTGGAAAGCTTTCTGCTTTCGAATGTGAGAAATTAGTAGCCAAAATTACTCAAAAGATAAAGTCTTGGAGGGCAAAGCGGCTCAGCTATGTTGGTCGACTTCAGTTAGTCTCTTCAGTATTGATGGGGGTCCTGCAGTACTAGTTGCAAGTTTTTCTGCTCCCTAAAAAAGTGTTGAAGCAGGTACAGAGGATCTGCTCGTATTTTTTGTGGCATGGATAGGAGGGAAGAGCTAAAATTGGTTGGGATAGAATGACGCGTCCTAAAAAAGAGGGAGGCTTGGGTTTAAAGGAACTCTGTTCCTGGAACCAGGCTTGCATCGCTCGCATGTTGTGGCTCCTCCTGATGCAGAGTGGGATGATTTGGGTGGCTTGGATACAGACCTACAGGATCAAACAAGGTAGTATCTGGACAGAAAGGTCCAGTTCCAGTGGCTCCTGGGCTTGGAGACGAATTTTAAAGACTCGGAGTGTGCTTCAGCAATTTTTTCATGTTCAGGGAGGAACAGTCTTATGGAACCACCTTCCTATGACCCGGTTCTGTTTAAGTGTGGTTTGGGACACAATTCGGCCAAAATGGTCTGTTGTGGAGTGGCATTAACTTGTGTGGGGGCATGGTTTCATACCTAGGAATAGCTTTCTCTCATGGACTATTCTTTTGGATGGTATAGTCACATCTGACAAACTACTGAAATGGGGGAAAGTTGTGGATGGTGTTTGTGTGTTGTGTAAACAGGGACAGGAATCTAGGGAGCATTTATTTTTTCAATGTTCATATGCAAGAGGGGTTATGGAGGGCTTATGTCGTCTTGATTTTTACAGAACATCTTGGCCTGCCACTGTGGTTGCAGCTTGTGGTTTGTGTAAACAGAGAAATGGTTAAATTGCAGGGGTAATTTGGTGCTTCTTGGTGGCTTCCATCTAGAAGGAGAGATGCAGGCAGAAGCATGGGGAGCCTCCAAGGTCAGCTGCTGAATTGCAGGGGTTGATCAAGAGCGATTTATTGACAGTAGGTCTTTCATTTTCAAAAGGTCTCATTCTTTCTTTGTCTCCTATTCTTTTCATGTTATGGTCCAAAAACATCTTTTTCAATTTTCATAAAAAATCTTTTGTTCCCTTATTTTCTTCGATGAATATTAGTTCTGATACTAAAGTTATTTTGTTATACTTGGTTTATCTATTTTCTAGTTTCTGTTTTATTTTATTTAGACTCGTTATTATGTCGGTGATTAATTCAGTTTTAGATACGGCTTCTTCCAATGTACCCTTATTACATTAGAATTATCTCACTTTGTATTAGATATTGTAGAAGAACAAATGTATATCGGAAATTCAGAATTATTACATTAGAATTATCTCACTTTGCATCAGATATTGTAGAAGAACAAATGTGTATCGGAAATTCAGAAACATTGGAAGAAGCCGTATCTATAACTGAATTAATCACCGACATAATAACGAGTCTAAACAAAATAAAACAGAAACTAGAAAATAGATAAAACCAAGTATAACAAAATAACTTTAGAATCAGAACTAATATTCATCGAAGAAAATAAGGGAACAAAAGATTTTTTATGAAAATTGAAAAAGATGTTTTTGGACCATAACATGAAAAGAATAGAAGACAAAGAAAGAATGAGACCTTTTGAAAATGAAAGACAAGATAGCAAAGACTTTTTTGTAAGAAAAAAAAAATTGATTCTATCAAGCTCATATTTTTGACATATAAAATTTTGGTATCAGATGCTCCAAAGCGAGCCCATCAAATGAAAGAGACTAATCCATTTAAATTAAAAAAATATTAAAAAAATTAGCCAAACAGCAAATTACGAAAAAGTGTCCCAACGAGCTTCGCGAGCTCGGCTCATTAGCAGCGCTAGTTGTGGACAGTGTAACCCACCAAGGAAACAACAAGTGTTTCTCCTCCGGAAACCCACTCCAACTATGGCAAATTTCCTGAAATAGCTCAATGAAGACACCTTCATACACAAGAGACTCGTAAGCCCTCAAATTTGTCCTTTCTTCCATATTCAACAATTAGAGTTTTGTAAAATTTGTTCATTTGCTTGGAAAATTCGTTTGTCTCTATCAGCTGATTCCTGGGGAGTTTGTGAAGAAATGTGGGAGGCGGAATCTGACAAACCCAGTAATCCTGGAGCCAATAGTTGGAGATCCAATGGAGAGGGAGATGGAGCTATACGAAGATGGTAGCAGGTTTTGGGTGAGGAATGGGTGGCAGGAGCTTGTAGATCACTACAAACTCAGCCATGGATGTTATCTAGTGTTTGTGTAGATCACTACAAACTCAGCCATGGATGTTATCTAGTGTTTGAGTACAAGAGCTACTCACGGTTTAAGCTTTTGATGCTTGGAGCAAATGGGTTAGACTTGGAGTTTCCAGTTTCCATTTATGTCAATGTTGGACGGAATGGGAACCAGGAGTTTCAAGAAGTTGAAGAGGAAGAGAGTGTCGATGGTGATTCTGTGGAGATCTTAGGTCACTTGTCGATTTCAACTTTGTTTTCTTAGTATTTCATATAAAAAGAAAAACTCTAGCTGTTGTTCTGGATCTCTTTGTGTTTAGGCTTTATTCATGGCTTATTTTTTGGTACTGATGTGTGTGCAGGCTCGTCAGTGGTTAAGGAGATGAACAACCTTAATGAAGTTAGCGGAAGGCAGCTAGCTCAGCCGCTGTCTGCAGAGGCCAGAGAATACCAAGCAAAAAGGGGTTATGAGTGATAGTAAGTGCTGTTGGTTCATCTCAGCGCATAAAAGGGGATATAAGAAATACAGTTTGATCATATTTGTCATCAATCTCTGCAGGGAGGAGAACAGCTGGTAATGGAGAGAGGAGGCAAATGAACCAGGATGCTCCAGCTAGAAATAGAGCTAGTGGAAGCACCTTTGAAAGGGATAAGGATGAGAACTCTCGTATTCCTTCCATGGCTGAGCAGGAAGGTACATGATTTTTGCTTTCCAGAGTTTTTAGAAAACTGGAATGTGCTTTCTTTTTATAGATTAGTGAAATTGCTTGTTGATGCATGGATATATATTTGCGACAGATGAGCTAGATTTTTCTAGGAGACCTCCCAGCTCAAATCCTGGCAGACCCACAATTATTGAATGATTTTCATGGTATGTTGTTAATGTTAAAAAACTAAGTTTAGTTTCTGATCATGTTGCTAATCCTCTGCTGAATGCTGTTCATCAGCTCAACTGTCTGTTGCTGTAAACTTATGTTAATGAATATTTCTGATATGTCAGCATTATAAGCAGTTGGGGAGTGGATTCTAACAAAAGCTCCAAGTTTGCTAGAACCATCTTGTCTGTCATTGAATTTACTGAAATGTGTCTCTTCGGTAAGAATCTGTTGCTGATAACCATTACTAAATGTTGAGGTAGAACATCTACTTCGTGTGCTCGCAAACTTCCACAAACAGAAAGCATAAGAAAGTACTCCAAGTTAACAACAGGGGATCTCATTAACATTCTCAAATGATGGTGACTTTTAGCAGGACCTTATTCCACCTTCAAATGCACTCGGTGATGCAAATGTCTCCTTGTTTCAGCAAGTTGCCCTCTGCAAATCCATCCGAGCGACATAGAAGCATACATACTTCATACTTGTTCTTCATGTGCCTACCGAGTGCCACTGGCCAAGTTTTATCCGCGACCTCAAGCTTCACTGACTTCTCGTCTTTCCCAATGTGCCTAACTGAAAAGCCTAAGGGTTACTGCAAATTCAAAAAGGTCATGAGCAGTTCATGTTATTAGTGTATTCAAGAGTTCAGAAAACAAACAAACTTTTGGCTCAAGAAACAAACTTTCCAACCTCATCGGCTGGATTCTGGTTGTTAGCAGTTGTAGTTGATCAGGGACACAATCTCAGTAGCGGTTCTATCAAATATGAAGACCCAAGATTTTTCCAGGAATTGGCTAACTGGTTGGGAGAGAACATTCAGGGGACAGGAGCTATTTTCATTTTTGCTAGGAAGCTGCATCTGATCAAAGCTAAACTGAAAATTTGGAACAAAGAAGTATTCGGGAATATAGATAAAAGGGTGGAAGATCTGCTTAGCAAGATCAGAGAGCTGGAAAGGGCCGAAGAAGAAAGATCTCTGCAGGATGGGGAAAAGGAAGAGAAGGTTAAGTTGGAATTCGATCTGAAAAGGGACATCTTTCTACAAGAGATTTGCTGGAGGCAAAAATCCAGAGAGGTTTGGGTAAAGCTAGGTGATAAGAACAGCGGATATTTCCATCAAATGGCTAACTACAAACGGAAAGTGAACAGAGTGGAAAAGCTTAAGATCGAGGGGCGGACAGTAGACGATTCAGTTGGGGTTGCTTCCGGAATTGTGCGGTTCTACCAGAACCTTTTCAGAGAAGAAATGGTCTCTAGACCTTTCCCAAGTTGGGTTTGGGAGAATCAACTAGATGACTGGGATAAATCTGTTCTATGCCGAGAGTTCACTGAAGAGGAGATCTGGAAGGCTATTAGGGATTGCGACGGCAGTAAAGCACCGGGACCTGATGGATTTACTCTGGAATTCTGCAAACGGGGGTGGGGTTGGCTGAAAAGCGAAGTCCTGAAGGTGTTTAAGGAATTTCATGATACAGGTGCCCTTCCAAAGTGTGTGAAGCATTCTTTTGTGTGTTTGGCACCAAAAAAGGACGTGGTTGAAGAAATCAAAGACCTCCGCCCGATAAACCTGATCGGGAGTATCAATAAACTAATCAACAAGGTTCTGTCCAAGAGATTAGGAGATGTTCTTCCAAAGCTTATCTCAAAACATCAGCACTCTTCAGTAAAAGGGAGGCAAATTGCGGAGGCGGGTCTTATCGCGAATGAAGTGGTGGCGAGCAGGAGAAAGAGCAGAAAACCTGGTATCATGTTCAAGCTCGATATCGAAAAAGCTTTCGATAATGTTAATTGGGGGTGCCTTTTGAAGATTATGGAGCTGATGGGTTTCCCGGAAAGGTGGACGAGATGGGTTAAAGGCTCGATGTTCGATTACAATGTGTCTATTCTTATTAACGGAGAAGCTAACGGTTTCTTTCCGGTCTCCAAAGGTCTTCGCCAAGGGGACCCTATATCCCTAGGTCTGTTCGTGATGGTGATGGATGTGCTTTCTTTGATGCTGGAAAAAGTGAGAGCTAGTGGGAAGTTCGAAGGATTCTACATGGATGAGGGTAAGAAGATAGGGGAAGTGACGCACCTGCTTTATGCTGATGATACCCTAATATTCTGCGACACAAAACACGATCAGGTTCTGAACATTCTGGCCACTCTAGTGCTGTTTCAAACCGTGACTGGGCTGCGTATTAACTTGGAGAAATCAGTAATGTACACGGTGGGTGACGTAGCTGAACCGAGCTATTTTGCTGCCATTTTCGGGTGCAAATGGAGTAGTGAAGCTCCGAAATATCTCGGATACCCTCTTGGCGCGAAACCGAATGACAGCTCGATTTGGGATGGAATCGTTGAAAAATATCAAAACAGACTTAGTGGCTGGGGAAGTAGGAATATGTCTTACGGTGCGAGGCTTGTTCTCATCAATGCGGTCCTCTCTGGTTCCCCAACTTACCTGTTTTCTCTTTTCAAGGCCCCAAAGTCTGTTATTAAGGATCTGGAAAGGTACCAAAGAAGATTTCTTTGGAGCGGGAAATCGGAGGGTAATAAGTCAGCCTTGATGGATTGGGAGGTCTGCAAAGCGCCGGTCAAGAAGGGAGGTCTGGGCATTCACGATTTAGAGCTATTCAATGATGCTATGCTGACGAAATGGCTATGGAGGTTTGCTACGGAGAGAGGCAGCTGGTGGCGGGGGTTGATTAATTGCAAATTTCCGAATGAGTTGTCTTGTTGGCAGACTAAGAGAGAAAGAAGGGGTTTCTCCAAGTCGGTTTGGGCTAATATCAGCAAAGAATATGATTTGTTTTGGCATTCTGCTGTGATTGATCCGGGGAATGGAACTCAAGTCTCCTTCTGGTACGATTGTTGGATCCCGGGGATTGTGCTGGCTGCTTCGTTTCCTCGCGTCGCTGCTGCCGTCCTTGACCCGGAAGCTCTCCTGTCTGACACTGCAAATACCCAGGGTGAGTTGGTGAGTTGGAACTTTGATTTTAAATATATCTTGAGGGGTGGGGCAGCGAGGGAGAGGGATAATCTCATGAATCTTTTAAACTCTGTGAATTTTGCGTCTTCTTCTTATAGCCCGTGCAGGATCATTTGGAATTTGGAGGCAAACTCAAAGTTCTCTGTGAGATCTTTATATAGGGAATTCGCTGGCATGTACTTAAGAGAGATCGATGACTTTCCAGCAGAGAATGTTTGGATTTCTTGGATTCCGAGTAAAATATGCTTCTTCATATGGCTTGCTTACCATAATAGAGTGCTTACCCTTGATAATTTAAAGAAAAGAGGCTTGTTTCTGGCCAACATTTGTGTGTTGTGCAAGAATGATGAGGAGTCTACCCAGCACATGCTCGTGGAGTGCGATTTCGTTAGGAGGATCTGGAACATGATGTACAGCAGAAGGAACAGGACACCTAGATGGATCGGTGAGATCGTTCAAATAATAGCAAGTTGGGATAGCGCCGATGGAGACGAAATCGAGAAGTGTTTTGATGCTTGTATTTTACATTCTATTTGGTGGGCTGTTTGGCTCGAGAGGAATCAGAGGACTTTCGAGGACAAAGCAACATGCTGGGAAGCGGTGGGGATAAAGGCGGCTAGGAAGGCAATGGAATGGATCGTGGTTAACGGAAAGGTGCAGAAATCAGAGGGGAGGAGATGGCTGATCGAGAAGGGTTTAGCGTTTTAACCGATCAGGGAGCTGCTTGTGAATCTTGGTCTTCCGAGTGTCTCTTTTGTTGTTTCAGGGGAGTGTAGTATTCTTCGGGGACGCTGGCTGTTCCCTGGATGCTGCTCGTCCTTCTCTGCTGCTATTGACTGGCGGCATGTCATTAGAAGCGGTGATGGGTGGCTTCCCTCTTCCTGAGGCAGAGCGAAGGGGATTCGATAGGCCGGGCAAAGGGGATTTGGTTTCAGATTGACCAGGAAGTTTGCTTCCTGCCTCGGTTCTGCGTCTCTGTTTCCGTTTCTCTTCCCGTTTCGGTTTTTCCTGTATTTTTGGTTCCTATTCAGGATTATTCCTCTTGATCCTAGTTTCTTTCTGTGAACAGTGTATTTTCTTTGTTTAATAAAATTTCACCATTATCAAAAAAAAAAAACTTGGTCGTGATTTGCATGTAATACCAACAAGTCAACATAAGTCAAAAGGTCAACAACTAATACCCTCCTCTGTTTCGGCAGAAAATTGAAGGGGCCGCTTCTCTTTGTAGCCTGAGGTATGGGACCCAAATTTTCCTACATTCATAAACACTCCGAACCTGACGCGCCTGTGCTTCCTTTTAGCCATTTTCAGCAAACAATAGCAAGCTCTCCAAACTTCCCACAGCTCTTTCAAACAAATCTTAGTCTGCCTTTGACTCAAAGCAGCAAGGGCAACCCATTTCCCTTCTTCTCTCCTCTTCCCTTCTTCTCATCTCCCCCTTCTTCAAACCCACAAAAGAAAACAACTGTTTCTCCTTCAGAAAACTACTCCAATGACGACCCATTTCCTGAAGCAGCTCACTGAAGAGACCATCAGTCACAAGAGAATGGTAAGCCCTTCAAAAAGTTCTGTCCTTTTTATATTTCATGTTCAAAGATTAGGGTTTTGTAAAGCTTGCTCATTTACTTGTCAAATTTTTGTCTCTCTGTTTATGTATCAGCTGATTCCTGGGGAGTTTGTGAAGAAATGTGGGAGAGAAAATATGACAAACCCAGTAGTCCTGGAGCCAACAGTTGGAGATCCAAGGGAGAGGGAGATGGAGCTATACGAAGATGGTGGTGGGTTTTGGTTGAGAAATGGTTGGCAGGAGTTGGTAGATCACTACAAACTCAGCCATGGATGTTATCTACTCTTTGAATACAAGAGCTATTCAAGGTTTAAGCTTTTGATGCTTGGGACAAATGGGCTAGACTTGGAGCTTCCAGCTTCCAGTTTTGTCAATGTTGGATCGAATGGGAACCAGGAGTTCCCAGAAGCTGCGGAGGAAGAGAGTGTGGATGCTCATTCTGTGGAGATCTTAGGTAGCTTGTCCATTTCAACTTTGTTTTCTTACTAGTTCATAACAAAAACCCCTTGCTGTTGTTTTGAACCTCCTTGTGTTTAGGGTTTGTTCACGGCATGATTTTCTGTTGCAGAGGTGGGTGCAGGCTCATCAGTGGTTAAGGAGATGAACACCAATAATGAAGGTGGTGGAAAGCAGCCAGCCCAGCCGCGGTCTGCAGAGATTGCAATGCAGAAAGGGGTCATCAATGCTAGTAAGTGTTGTTTGTTCACATAAAAAGGGAAGAAAGAAACATAATTTGATCATATTTTGCATAAATCTCTGTAGGGAAAAGGAGAATAGCTGATGATGGAGAGAGCAGGCTGGTGAAACAGGATGCTCCAAGGAGAAATAGAGCTAATAGAAGCCCCTTTGGAAGGGGTAAGGATGAGAATTCTCGTATTCCTTCGATTGCTGAGCAGGAAGTTACATAATGTTTGCTTTCCTGACTCTAAGAAAACTGAAATGTGCTTTCTTTTTATGGAAGAGTTAAAATGTTTGTTGATCAACGGATATATTTGTGACAGACGAACCAGCTTTTTCTAGGAGTCCTTCCAGCTCAAAGCCTGGCAGACCCATAAATACTGAAGCTATAGATGAAGATATAGCAAAATTCACTGGTGCTTGTCATAACAGAAGCCCTTTATGTTTTGTATCTCATTGTTCTACGGGTTTACATGGTTTGATTTCGGTTGAGATTTGCAGGATTATCTTTGATGAAGGACATGAACTACAACAACAATGGAGATGGTGATGGAAGACAGCCGTGGCTTGCTGAGAATGCCAACCACGAAGAGTACATGAGAACCGGTGACAGTGAGTATTGGTTCGATACCTAAACAGAGAAGAAAGAGCAACATTTTGATCATACTTTCGTCAATATCTGCAGGGAAAAGGAGAAGAACAGCTGAGGGCGGACAGCATAAGAAAGTGAACAAGGAACCTCTAAGGAGAAGTAGAGGTAACGAGAGCTCAGTTCCATTCATGGTTGAACATGAAGGTACAAATTTTTTTTTCCTTCCAAGCTTTGGGGAAGCGAAAAGTGCTTTCTTCTAAGTTTCTTATAGAGTAATGAATGAAATTTGAGTTTTCTATTCTTGATAGTCGAACCTCCTTCTATGGAACCTTCAAGCTCACGGCACGGTAGACCTACAACTGAAGCTGCAAATGGGTTTGCTTCCCAAACTGATTTTCTCCAAGTTATTGTCTCAAAAAGTTCCTTGGCTAAGAAAGGCTTGGTACGTCGTCTCCAACAAGCGGTGTTTTTATTGTAGTGGTTCCATCTAGTGCATACAACTGAAAAGTTTCTCTTTGCAGAGGATGAAGGGAGGTTTTGTTGAAAGGCATATCACCGATTGGAAAGATAAAATAGTGGAGCTTCAGGTTGAACAAGAAACATGGCCAGTGGGAATTGTATCAGACCATGGTGTCCCTACTCTTTCTAGAGGCTGGTTGACATTTGCGCGTCAGAACTCTTTGAATGTAGGGGACACTCTCATAATCGTTCCCACAATCACTGAAGGTGTTCTCACAGTTCATATTCTACGTGGTTCTTACAGGAAACCTACTTGTTAGCTAGGAAGTTGGGTTGTTTGTTTAGGTGATTTTGGAGAATGATTATCATGGTAGGTTGTCAAAGGAATCTGTTCAGTATCTGATAATGTTGCTAATCCGCTGTTGAATGTTATCAGCTTATGTTAATCTTCTATTTACTAATGTTAAGGAATGTTTCTGATTGTAGAATCTAACAAAAGTTCTAGTTTTCTAAACCCTTCTTGTCGTCATTGATGTTCTTCTAAAATGTGTTTCTGATAGAAACACGTTTTCGTGATTCTATCATAATTATCACAATTATTATTATTAGGATATTTACAAATAAGGATAGTAGTCTTTTAGTAGAATTAGGTTTATTATTAGGTTTTCCTATCTTTCCTATAAATATGTAATATGAGTTTCATTATGAATCAAGCAAGAACAATTACTCAGAAAGTATCTTTCCCAAAACCCTAACCCTCTATCTCCTAAATTCTCGTTCTCTAGCCCTCTAAGGCTTCGGCCGATTCTATTTCTGTTCTTCTTCTTCTTCTAATCCCCAATCTCAAAACCCTAATTCTGTTCTTAATCCCTAAATCCCAATTTCCGATAGAACCCTAATTCTGTTCTTAATCCCTAAATCCCAATTTCCGATAGAACCCTAATCTCAGGTTCTATCAGTTCTTCAAAAAGAATTTGTTATGATTATGTCCATTACAAAATGTTGAGATGGAACATTTACTTCGTGTGTATGACTCTAAAGTTAAATTTATAGGGATGAGAAGAAACTAAACCAGCAATCCATTAGCAAGCAAAAGGCTGTCCTTTTTCATCAGCAGGGTTTGGTTTGTTTGAGGCTTTCAGCCTTCTGGTTCCTCGTAGTTGTTGAAGGAAATGGACAAACGTCAAATATAAACTTCCGAATGACACTTCTTTTCAATCAGTATTCAGGGAACCTTACAATAATGCTAACCATAATACAGAGATGACCTTGAAAAGGAAACAGAACCAAGAGCCGATACGGACATTATACAGCATTATCTGAAACATTCAGGTAGAAAAGAAAGTTTGTCCAGAGCTATGTCTGAATGTCTCAAGCAGATTTCTCGGCTTCTTCGGCCGCCTCTTCCTCTCGCAACTTGATCAAAGACGGAGGTGGTCGGACAACAATGCTTTTCTTCCATTGCCGGTCGAGCTTTCTTGATAACCTCTTGTTGATACCCTCTTCAACCTCTCTCTCGCGTTTAACAGTTAGCATGCGTGCAATCTGCATTCATTGATTTAAAAAGAGAGGAACTCCGTCTTTCAAACACAGGATATTATGTAATCAACGTAATACGACAACAAAATGAAAGAAATAAATGATGGGAGCAAGTAAAGATAGCTATATGATTGTGTCCCTCATATATTGTCCAAATTGAACCATCTCTAGTAAACACAAACATGGTTCAGTTGGAAAATACTGCGAAAGCATGCCACTGCTTGGTGAAGATCTTATGGAACACAATGTAATTCATGATTCAACTCTATCATATCATTATCAAGAAGACCAAAGCTACATAACGCATTCAACTTGCAAATGCATTGGCCTATGGTAAAAACATAAAAGAAGTTTTGGCCAGGAAGCATGGTATCTGCTTCTTTATGCCAGACAGCCTTGATTACCGGTGGCTATTTCTTCCCCTGGTAGCAAAAAAAGTTAATATAAACTCTACTTTGCAAAGACTAGACAAAAACAGATAATGTGGGAGCTAAAGGAAGTTTCATCGTTGAGTGGCATGCCAGCATATTTTCTGACAATAATAGCCAATGACACCCAAATCCAACCACTGGAAATTAATAACAAAATCAAGAATCCAACCATGTCTAACTCATGGATTCCAAAGCGCAATCGAATTCTCTGGTGCTCTTCCCATTTTCAGTTCAAGCTAATCCATAATTTTCCATTCTTTACTCGGGGCATATGAATAGCTTTACTCACGCATAATATTTCCTCAATCCTCAAACTCTCGCATCAAGACATCAATTAACCAAATCCCTTTTGCCATACCAATGTTAACCCGCTAAAATTAAGCTACAAAGTTCTAACTTCTAACCTAATGCATAAAAATTCATCAATTCAAACCTGTCCACCATCTTCCATAAGTTAACAGCAAACACCACTTCCAAATCACCCCACCATGGTACCATCCTTCATTCCTTTCCAAACAGACAGTACTATTATCCTCTCTATCAAGAGCCTTCTCAAAACCAAACACATTTCCCATTCAACAATGCTAGAGAACGAAGGAAGGAAAAAAATGTACCTTTTTGCGCATACGGCGGAACTCACTGGACTTGAACTCATTCCTGACGGACTTCTGCAGGCGAAGCATGAAGAGCTCGCCCTTAAGGTCAACAACCTGCTCGTTGATCTCGTCGGTGGTCAACCCTCTGATTTCCTTCAACTCCTCGTCCTTCTTCGCCATCATCACCACCGACGACGCCGGAGCTCCGGCAGACCTGTACGCCGTCCGAGGGCGAACTCGAAGTGGCGGGACAAGGCATGTTTGGTTGAGTTGGATGCCGGCGAACCCGGATTTGGGAAGTGGAAGGGAAGGTTTGGGAAGTGGTGTAGCAATTGAGAGGCTCAACATGGTTCTGCTTTTTTGGGTTCTCTGGTTAAAAGAGTGTGGGTGATGCTCTGAGGCTGCCCTGCCGCCCGACCTCTGTCTCTCTCTGGAGAATAGATATGAGATATGGTTCCTTTCCCTATCCTATATACTTCCGAGAGAAAAGGTAAATTACTCTAATGGTCACTATTCTTTGTGATCATCGACAAACCGATAGCTGAACTTTTCATTTCCACCGATTTAGCTTGTGAAATTTGGAATAACTTAAGAACACAGTGGATTCGATCATCATCACCACTGAATTCTTCTCCACATTGTTCATATCAGTATGTAAAAACACACCCAATTTAGTAATATAGTGAAAAATTCATTTAAACCTTCTAATTATATATAATGAAAGGTGAAAAAGGGATTAGGATATTTTGGGTTAATGTTGGTTTGGAATCTGTGTCAAGTATTCGATTTGATTTAGGCTAGAGATTGAGGTAAAATGTTTGAAGTAAACTAACTAGAATATGTGTACTCTACTTTTCACATTTTGAAAATTTTAAACTAATACAAATTTAACGATCAAAATGGATAGATAACTTTCATACTCTGCATTGGTAGTACCTTTGTTTTGATTCTCTGTTTTACCTCCAACAAAAACTATGACTTAGACTCGGAGAGTATAATACGTTTGTGGATTATACTACGACAATAGCTCGCGAGGAACCGAATGAAGCAGCATAATTGTGTAACACCCTCAAGTTATGGTAGGAAAAGCCTTGGGGATGCCTGCAGAGTTTTACAGTGGTTTTGTGAACTTGATATACTTCTTTCTTAAGGTCACAATCTTGCAAACTAGTCTACAGGGCAAAGCTTTCTCAAGGTTATGGAGGTTCTCTGTTTCTGATTCAACTCCTTCCCTTCCCAAAACTGAAAACCTGGTCTCCGATTGATCTCATGCTTCCAACTGTAGCGTGCATCTCCAGATAACAGAACCAGAGATCCTGGAGGCAAGTAGACAGGAACCTTTCCAACCTTCCCCCTCTCTTCATCCTCCTCCGCGTCCTCCCTACCCTCTTCGTGTTCTACATTGCTGAAATGCATCACACACGACGATTCCAGAGAGACGATAGCAATTCCATCTTCAAAACGCATCAGATCAACATGCGCACAGATTCCCTGCAACATTGCCGGAAACATTCCATTTAAGACCAATCCACAAAAGAAATACCAATGCTATACTAACCGCAGCAAACAGAGAGATCGATTTCGACCTAAATGAAGCTACAATTGCAAGACAAACAACCACAAAAGAAGAGAAACAAGCTGACATGCAATCCCCCTTGACGATATCACTACACATTTTCGCCCCGGTTAATGGTAATGGCCGCTGATGCATAATTCCACATATGGAAGAGATTCATAGTTCATTGATGAAAATGCAGAAGTAAACAGCAAAGCTAGTGAGCTTACCTCACCTGGCTGGTACACATTTGCAATTAATTGGTCAAACAGTGGCTGTCTCCACAGAATGTCTGGCGGCAGCAACCTAGCTCCTGCAGCCTCTTCAGCCAGAACCACCGCGTCGCGTACAGAATTACAAAGCTCAGTTGCCCACCATGGAAGATTCCCAAACCTCATAGCCTTTTGGAGTTGGGACTTATCAGTAACTGCCTTCAGGTCAAACGAATGAGAGATATGGAACAACACCAATCCTCACCTGATTGTTAGAACCTTCACCGAGCCATCCTTCTGCAGTCAAGATCGGAAGCAATAGATAGCTAAAAGCGCCAATCATACAGGGAGAAATAAGAACACGGTAGATGCAAGGAAAAAGCTGGGAACTTTCGATTCAGAAGACTGCACGTACCGCGGCGGAGGGCGGAAAGGAGGCGCGACTGTTGCTGTGGAGACAGGAAGTCTGTGCACAGCCATAGTCCTCTGATTTCGACGACTGCCTCCCAGATTGGAACCAGCCGCTTCGATCTATCGCCGCTTCCACCTCTCGCTTCGTCCTCTGTTATTGCTTCTTCCTCTTCTTCACTTCCCGATGAATCGCCAAACGCTTCTCTCATAACTGCCTTCTGCCATTCATCCATCGCCACACTCGGTGCCCCCGTTCAGTTTTAGGTCTAGGTTCAGGGGAAGGATCAGGTCAGTAACCTTATGGTGAGTAACCATGAGTAACCCGTGCACATCAGCATGACATCAGCATCCTCTCTCTCATGAAAAGCCTTTAATTTTTCCCTCTTTAATCTTTGACGGACGATTTCTCGCTCATTTTAAGTCGAAATTTAATTTTTTTTGCACAGTTAGATCAGATTAATTGTGCTCTTCAAAATGATATCCACTTTAATATATTTTTCGAACAAAAAAAATTGAGCCATTTTTTACCAGCCTATACCATATGGTATTGACTGGTATTGAAATAAAAGCATACCTATGTTTTGAAAAACGTATCATGGTGGTATGAACAAACCAATACTGTAGGATGGTTGAATACATGATAGTAGAAGTATATTAATTGTAATTTACGACTTTTAACATTGTATATCACACAATACCACCCCGTACCAGGGTGGTATTGTATGGTATTGTGTGGTATTTTTTGGTCCTGTAATTTGTTCACCCAGAAAATTGTAGATCCAATAGATCATGATGAACTCGTCCCTTCTGTGCAAACATTTTCAAAAACGAATTAAAAATGAAGAAGATACCATACAATACCACCCCGTACCAGGGTGGTATTGTATGGTATTGTGTGGTATTTTTTGGTCCTGTAATTTGTTCACCCAGAAATTTGTAGATCCAGTAGATCATGATGAACTCATCCCTGCTGTGCAAACGTTTTCAAAAACGAATTAAAAACGAAGAATATACCATATGGTATGCAGTTGGTACCGAGAGGCCAGAATTTTTTTTTCCTAAAAAAATATTGAAAATTGATCTCATTTTGTAGAGCACGGTGAACTCGTTCCATCTGTGCAAAAAAAATTAAAATCCGATTTAAAGCGAAAAAGATATGAGTCAATTAAGAAAGCTAGTGAAAATAAAAATAGTCTTTAATTCTCCATCCTTAGATCTGGATTTTCTAAATGAAGGGTCCAGATTTGGTTATTGATCGGTGCATAACCCATGGTTATGCACCCTATCTTGAGCCCTAGGTTCAGCACTCGATAATTGGTTAATCGAAGGGTTAATAGCATTTTATACCCCTCTACTATTATAAATTAACAAACGTACCCCTCTACTAAATTTTTGCACAAACATACCCTCTCAATATCAAAACATAACGAGTATACCCTTCCGTCAACTTATCTGTTAATCGGCTGTTAAATGGGTTGGTAAATGACCCAAATGCCCCTAACTTAATCTTAATTCATTATATAATTTTTGTTTATCACAACCCAATTTACCATTAAAATACACCGTACTGGTCCCCTCCACTCCCCCGATAGACTCCAATAGACCTCGGCGGCGGCTGTCACCCGGCTCTTCCTCGCCACCGGCTGGAATGAGAAAGCAGCGATTAAGACGGCGAGAGAGGCGGATGGTGCAGGAAGACAGCTACCAGCTTTCTCCCAGCGAAGAGCGATGCCTACAGCTTCTTCTCCTTCCTTGGAGAAAGAATTGTCCCCACCCAACCACAAAACCCCTTGCTCCCTCCCCCCGATTCCTGCCCCTCTTTCGTTTTGTCATAAACTAATTCTTTTTATCCTCATTGGTTGTGTTTTCCATGAATCTTTGATGGTGAAAAATGCCTTAACTCAATTGGACAATTCCAATTCACAAGGATTAGGTTTTAAAGTGGAAGTTGGATGCAACAGCCGAGAGGAGATTGGTGATTTGGGGGGTGGGGGATTCTTTGTCGACGGAGAGGGAGGGAGCTACGAACGTCGCCCTCTGCTCCAGTTGTTGCTGCGGTAATCGTCGCCGGCGAGGAAGAGTTGGGTGCAGCCGCCGCTTAGGGTGCACCGATGGGGGGAGTTTCAACGGAGTTGGGGAATGAGGCAGACGAAAGGATGGAGAGTCGGCTTGGAGGCGACTGTTTAGGGCGTGTTTTAATTTTTTTTCCAGGAATTTGTGTTTTAATTTTAAATTGGGTTGTCATAAAAAAATTATATAATGAATTAAGATTAAGTTAGGTGCATTTGGGTCATTTGCCAACCCATTTAACAGCCGATTAACAGATAAGTTAACGGAAGGATATACTCGTTACGTTTTAATATTAGGAGGGTATGTTTGTGTAAAAATTTAGTAGAGGGGTACGTTTGTTAATTTGCAATAGTAGAAGGGTATAAAATGCTATTAACCCTTAATTGAAACTAATTTTGATCGCCTATTCAATACCCAAGGATGGGGCTAAGATCAGGTGACTAAGGGGGTCATCTTAATCACATGACTAAGCCAATCTCAACCATTCAACTTCATTAAAAAGCTAACAAAATTATTTATTGTATGCATTTTTTTTCTAAATAGTCCTACCCTCGACAAAAATGTGGCTACGCCCCAAAGAAATCCTCTCGTCTGCCACCTGCCACCAAGAAGACGACCAACCCCTCTCCTTAGCCCAAAAAAACCAAAATCTTATTTGCAACTTCCAGATCTAGTTCTCCATCGTCACTTCACATCCCAAAATCGTTTCCCATCCTGTCGTCGCTGGGATTCTTTTCCCATCTACTCCAATCGAGCTCCTTGAGCCAGAGGACCAACGTTTCTCTGTCATCAATAACTTGTAGTTGTGGGAAAAGCTCCTGGAGCCAGACTCATGGGAAAAGCTCCGGCGACCGGCTGTGATGTTGAGGAGAATCTTCACAGTCGGAGCAGTTGTGGGTGATGACGGTCTTCAATGGCGTTGCCTCTTTCTTTCTACGCGGTCAACAATTTTGGGTCTTCGGTTTCTGGATATGGAATCAAAGCGAAGCCTTATGTGGGATGCAGCACTTGAATGACTGTTGTCGGTTGACCATGTCGCGGCGAACCTAGTTATGCTCCTAATAGACCATTTTGTTAGGAGATACTGACAGGGCAGGATAGATGGCCACGTCGTAGAGCCGGATCGGACGGCGGAGGAGGATTGGCGCCGACTTGTGAGAGGAAGAGGGCCGAGTCCATCGGCTGCCCCAATTCCACTATCCAAAGGGGCCCAAAAATTAAAAAAATCAATGCCTTTTCTTAGTCTCCTTCTCTCTTCAATTCACTTCGTTAGTTTCCTTTCTCTCTCCTCAAAATTTTTTTTGTTTCCTCCTCCCTTTTTCTCCCAATAATCACCATAAACCCTCTCCGACTCTAACGAAGCAAGTGACGGCGACGACGGTATCGCGACAAGGAAGAAGTTCTCGGCGACGGTAGTCGTGCTTGAAGGAAGAAGACGACGGTAACTGTGTTTTTTCCTCTCTCTCTCTCTCTCTCTCATCTCTATTTCATTCTTCACCTTGCTTATTGTGATTCAATCGATTTCTGAAAGCGATTGTTCAATTTTCATTTAGTAGAAAAAGGAAGAAGCTTCGAAGGCGAGGGATATATGGCATATTTGCAGATCCACACCGTCCTCATTGGAATATCACGAGGGGATTCGAATTTTAGGGTTCCATTTTTCTTTTTGATTTTTTTCTTGCATTATGATTTTGTGTTTCAAATAAATAAGTAGTGTTTGAAGTTAGGGTTTCATGGATTCGACTAGATCTGGGTTTTCCTTTTCCTACGTTTTTTTTTATGAGTTTGATGGATTTGTTTTCTGGTAACTTAGATTTGACTAGATCTGGGTTGCTTTCTGTGGATTATGTGGATATGTTTCCTAGGTTTGTGGATGTGACTGGATCTGGGTCTGGGTTGCTTTGTTTGTGGATTTTGCGGATTTGATTGGATCTGGGTTGCTTTGTTTTCAGAGTTTTGTGGATATGTTTTGTGTGTGTTCCGATATTAGTTCTGTTCGGGCAGGATATTAGTTTTTAATTGCCTGGATAGTTGTTTAATATATATGGATATTCCTACATTGATATTGGTTTTGGTCGACCATGATATCATTTGTGAATTGCCTAGATAGTTGTTTGATATATTTGGATATGACTTGTTTGATATTACTTATGATCGTTGGGGTATTCGTTATGTGAAGTCCAAATATTGGTTAGCTAATGTCAGGATATTCTACTGGGCAAGGTAATCACAATGACAAGAACTAAATCAACTGCAATGAGGACCACATCAGAAGGCGAAACCTTTAGGCATAAATGTGCCAAACAACAACAACAAAATGAGGACCAAGAAATTGAGGATGAAGAAAGTGATGACCAAGACGATGAGGGAAAAGGAAAAAAAAGTTGATTTTATATTTGTGTAGTGTGATATTGGTTTGTAAAACTGAACTTAGGGTTAGATGATATTTAGGGAAGGATGTTGGTTTGTAGCATGATGGATAATATTTTGCCAAATGTTGGATATAATTACCAACATAAGTTCTTATTAAAAAACAAACATAGATAAACATCCACACAAAAAAAATCCAAACCACCCAGAATAATATCCGTTCACCATAACAAAAATTCACAACACCCAGACTAATATCCCATCGCCTAAGACCAATATACATTCAGCTCGTAAATAATATCCTCACCATACAGACTAATGCCCACCACACACAAACTAATATCTGACCATCGCTGACTAATACCCACCACACATAAATTAATATTTGACAATCGCAAACTAATACCAAAAGTAATTAAATTGGCTAAATAAACTAATATCAACAGACTAATATCAATTAATGAGAAAACAAATATCCAAACATCCCACACAAATAGTTGCAAACATGAACTAATATCAATTTAAACCAAAGCTAATATCCGTACCACCTAAACTAATACCCATTCTTTGCAAAAACAAATACAAACACCCCCAGTTTAATATCCGACTACAAGACTAATCACTAAATCATAAACCCTAAACCCTCACTCTACTACTATTATTGTTTCATGGGCCTTCGGCGAGCAGCCCTAACTAAGGTTGCAAGCCTTATGTGTTAGGATTTGATAATGTATTTAGTTTTTATGGAAGACACAATATTCATTACTTCACAAACTCATATCCACTGCATATAATATCAGTTCATGCAAAAATAAATATCCATACTGCCCAGACTA